GGCTGAGGCTGAGGCAGGCTGAGGCTGAGGCTGAGGCAGGCTGATGCTGAGGCAGGCTGAGGCTGAGGCTGAGGCAGGCTGAGGCTGAGGCAGGCTGAGGCTGAGGCCGAGGCTGAAGGTAGACTGAGGCTGAGGCTGAAGCAGGCTGAGGCTGAGGCTGAGGCAGGCTGAGGCTGAGGCTGAGGCAGAGGCAGCCTGAGGCTGAGGCTGAGGCTGAGGCAGGCTGATGCTGAGGCAGGCTGAGGCTGAGGCTCAGGCAGGGTGAGGCTGAGGCAGGCTGAGGCTGAGGCCGAGGCTGAAGGCAGACTGAGGCTGAGGCTGAGGCTGAGGGTGACTTGCGCTGAGGCTGAGGCTGAGACTTGCGCCTTATACATCTACGCATATTGGTATCCAGTGACTCCCGCAAGGGTCCTTGCGCGTCGGCTGGTGCATCCATGCGACCATAACTGTCCTAGGCGCCTAGGCGGAGATTCGTGGCTTGAGGCGCGTGCTTCCGTGGCGATGACTACCACGAAATACTCCGATGGTTTTCTTGGCCGCCGTCATCTTTATTCGTCTTTCTCTTACCCTTACTCATGACGGAGGAGGAGGAGGAAGAGGAGGAGGAGGAGGAGGAGGAGGAGGGGGGGAGGAGGGGGACGAGGACGACGAGAAGGATGAGGAGGAGGAAGATGACGACGCGGTCGACGTCGCGCTGGGCTCGCCTTTGGCGCGAGGGTGCGTGGCGGGCTTCAGGCAGTCCTCGCCGATGGGGGCTCGGCGCGCTGGGGCCCCGAGGGGCGTCTGGCTCGTCGCCTGTCGTGGGCATGGCGCGCTTCGGGTGGGAACGCGGACGCTCCGAACCGTCCAGGGGCGAGGAGGGGAGGAGGATCTGGCTGAGATGCCGATACCGCTGCTCGTCCTGGAGAGTTCTCGCCGCCACGGCTGGCTTCGCTTCGAGATTCTGGTCAGGACAGGAAGTACGGGCATCTGTATCGAAGACTCCTACGGCGAATCACCGCCGCTCCTTGCCCGTTTGGAAGCGCCTGTGTGGCCGACAGCTGGGCCAGAGCTTGGCCAAGCTATCCGGCCAGTTTTTTTTCCCAAATCGGTTTGGAAAGACTTCGGGGAGCGCGTGGGGGAGCAGGAAGAGGAGGAGGACCAGGAGAGGGAGGATGATTATTTCGAGGAGGATAAGGATGATGATAAGGATGATGGTGGAGGAGGAGGAGGAGGAAGAGGAGGAGGCTGGAAGAGAAGGACGAGGCTGGAGAAGCCGGATTAGGAAGAGGAGGAGGAGGAGGAGGAGGAGGAGGAGGAGGACGACGACGAGGAGGAGGAGGACGACGAGGAGGAGGAGACTTCTTGGGAACGTCTTGGGGTGCTTCTTGGGAGACCTCTGCGGAGCTTCCTGGGGGCCTTTCGGGACCACTATGGAGTCCCTTGGGGGCCTCTTGGGGGCCTCTTGGGGGCCTTTGGGGGCTTCTTGGGGGCCTCTTTGGCCGTCTTAGGGCTTTCCTGATCCGTCTGACGCCGTCGGAGGCCGTCTTGGGGGCCTCTCTGAACCGACTTGGGGCCCGTGTTGCAACGCTTCAGGGCCGTCTTGGAGACCATCTTGGCCGTCTTGGAGGCCTCTTGGGCCGTCTTGGGGCCGTCTTGGGGGCCTCTTGGGCTGTCATGGGGCCATCTTGGAGGCCTCGTGGTCGATCTTGGGGCGATCTTGGGGCCTCTTGGGTCGTTTTGAGCCGTCGGAATGCCGAACAAAAAAACAAATGCCAACATATACCAAAAACCTTAGGAACATCATTGATTTCGGTATCTTCGGGCCCTCCTGGAGGACCTCTTGGAGGCCTCTTGGGCCGTCTTGGAGGCCTCTTGGGGGCCTCTTGGGCCGTCTTGGGCCATCTTGAAGCCATCCCGGGCCGTTTTGGGTGCATCTTGGGCCGTCTTGGAGGCATCTTTGGGCCATCTTAGCCGTCTTGGAGGCCATCTTGGCCGTCTTGGAGGTCTGTTGGGGCCCTCTTGGGGCCGTCTTGGGGGCCTCTTGGGCCGTCATAGGGCCACCCTGGAGGCCTCGTGGGCGATCTTAGGGCGATCTTGGGGGCCTCTTGAGCCGTCTTGAGCCGTCGGAATGCCAAAAAGAAGCAAATGTCAAAAGATTTGAAAAACAACCGGGAAATCACTGATTTTGATCTCCTCGGGCTCTCCTGGAGGGCCTCTTGGAGGCCTCTTGGGCCGTCTTGGAGGCCTTTTGGGGGCCCCTTGGGCCGTCTTGGACCGTCTTGGAGGCTTCTTGGGCGAACTTGGAGGTATCTTGGACCCTCTTGGGCCGTCTGGGAAGGCATCTTGGACCATTTTCGGCGAACTTGAAGGCCATCTTGGCCCTCTTGGAAGCCATCTTAGGCAATCTTGGAGCCGTCGGGAGCAGGAAAAACCATTGCGACCACCTCGTGTGGGCCCTTCCGGGTGGCCGGCGGGCTGGGCCAAAGCCAGGGGGAGTTTTTTCAGGGGGGGAAAAGGAACCCACCTGTGATGAATCAACAGGGGACGGCGGATCGAATGGCCTTCGGCCCATCCCGCCACCGTGCCTGGGTTCGGGGTTAAAGGTCTGTTGAGTGTTCGTTTGTGATCTCGTGGTAGGCTTCTCGGAGGCCTCTTGGAAGCAATTTTGAGGCCTCTTGGGGACCGTTTTGGGGCCTCTTGGGGCCTGTCTCGCGAGGGGACTCTTGGGGCTTCTTGGAGCCTTTCGGAGGCCTCTCGGGGTATCCTGGAGGCTTCTGGAGGCCGAGGGCTCGAAATTTCCGTTCGGGTCCCCCGTCTGGGCCCCCTCTTGGAGCCGTCTTGGGGGCTTCCTGGGCCGTCTTGGAGGCCTCTGGGGCCGTCTTGGGGCCCTCTTGGGCCGTCTTGGGCCCGTCTTGGGGGCCTCCTGGGCCGTCTTGGGGCGATCTTGGGGCCTCTTGGGCCGTCTTGGAGCGTCGGGAAGCCGAAAACGAGAAAACCTTAAGGATTTTGACACAAATTATAGAAAAGCAAACATGTTTGCCTCTTCGGGCCCTCTTGGGAGGCCTCTTGGAGGCCTCTTGGGGCGTCTTGGAGGCATCTTCGGCCGTCCGGGGGCCATCTTGAGAGCGATCTTTCGGCGTCTTTGAGCCCTCTGGTGGCACCGTCGCGTCTCCCCGCGTGCCTCTGAAGGCCCGGTCACCCGGTCACCCGGTCAACCAGTCAGCCGGTCAACCGGTCAGCCGGTCACCCGGTCACCCGCGGTCACCCGGACACCCGGTCACCCGGTCACCCAGTCCACCTGTCAGCTGGTCACCCGGTCACCCGGTCAGCCGGCCATACGGTCAGCCGGTCAACCGGTCCGCAGGTCAGCTTGTCAGCTGGTCATGTGGTCAGCGAGTCGACCGGTCAGCCGGTCACCCGGTCACCCGGTCAACCGGTCAGCCGGTCAACCGGTCAGCCGGTCAGCCGGTCAGCCGGTCCACTGGTCAGCCGGTCAGCCGGTCAGCCGGTCAGCCGGTCAGCCGGTCAGCCGGTCAGCCGGTCAACCGGTCAACCGATCAACCGGTCAACCTGGTCAGCCGGTCAGCAGGTCAGCCGGTCAACCGGTCAGCCTGTCAGCCGGTCAGCCGGTCAACCGGTCAGCTGGTCAGCGCCTTCATCAGCTTCTTCACGCGGCCAGCCGGTCAGCCGGTCAGCCGAGCAGCCGGTCAACCGGTCAACCGGTCAGCCGGTCAGCCGCGACCGGTCGACCAGTCAGCCGGTCAACCGGTCCGCAGGTCAGCTGGTCATGTGGTCAGCGGTCGACCGGTCAGCCGGTCGCCCGGTCACGTCAGCTGGTCAACCGGTCAGCCGGTCAGCCGGTCAGCCGGTCAACCGGTCAGCTGGTCAGCGCCTTCATCAGCTTCTTCACGCGGCCAGCCGGTCAGCCGGTCAACCAGTCAGCCGGTCAACCGGTCAACCGGTCAGCCGGTCAGCCGCGACCGGTCGACCGGTCAGCCGGTCAACCGGTCCGCAGGTCAGCTTGTCAGCTGGTCATGTGGTCAGCCGGTCGACCGGTCAGCCGGTCGCCCGGTCAGCCGGTCAACCGGTCAGCCGGTCAACCGGTCAACCGGTCAGCCGGTCAGCCAATCAGCCGGTCAGCCGGTCGACCGGTCAGCCGGTCAACCGGTCAGCCGGTCAGCCATGGTCAGCCGGTCAGCCGGTCAGCCGGTCAGCCGGTCAGCCAGCAGCCAGTTCACCGGTCAGCCGGTCAGCTGGTCAGCCGGTCAGCCGGTCAGCCGGTCAGCTGGTCAGCCGGTCAACCGGTCATTCGGTCAACCGGTCAACCTGGTCAGCCGGTCAGCAGGTCAGCCGGTCAACCGGTCAGCCGGTCAGCCGGTCAGCCGGTCAACCGGTCAGCTGGTCAGCGCCTTCATCAGCTTCTTCACGCGGCCAGCCGGTCAGTCGGTCAGCCGGTCAGCCGGTCAACCGGTCAACCGGTCAGCCGGTCAGCCGCGACCGGTCGACCGGTCAGCCGGTCAACCGGTCCGCAGGTCAGCTTGTCAGCTGGTCATGTGGTCAGCGGTCGACCGGTCAGCCTGTCGCCCGGTCAGCCGGTCAACCAGTCAGCCGGTACCGGCTGACCGGCTAACTGGCTGACCGGTTGAACGGTTGACGTCAACCGTTCAACCGGTCAGCCGGTCAGCCAATCAGCCGGTCAGCCGGTCGACCGGTCAGCCGGTCAACCGGTCAGCCGGTCAGCCAGTTAGCCGGTCAGCCGGTCAGCCGGTCAACCGGTCAAGCGGTCAGCCGGTCAGCCGGTCAACCGGTCAGCCGGTCAATTTGCACACTTATTCCACCATTGCCACCAGGGCCCGGCAGAGGCTTAGCAATCGGAGAGTTTGTTACAGTCCGCCCAGCTCACTCACCTACGGCCGCCGCCGCCATGGCAAAGCGGGAGCCGCCGTCTGAGGATGAGATGCTCCGCGCCTTCAGGGCGTGCCCCGTGCTTGATCGCGAGACGGCTGTCCAGCATTGTCCGGAGGTGGTTGAGGTGTCCGAGATGCTGGCCAAGTGTCTGGCAGTCCACTGGGAGTGGGTGCTGCTCGCGCTACTCGCGTGCGTTGGCGTTTTGATTCCCGAGGACCGCTTCGAGACGGCCCCTTCAATCGAGGTGCAGTCGTCCCTATGGATCATCCTGATTCACCCTGGGGCCACGAACAGTTCGGGCGTCATCAGTCTCGTGACGAAGGCGATGACGAAGCTCGTCAATCGCCTGCACAAGTACGAGACTGACAGCTACGACGCCCATTACAACGCTCTGTCGGCGGAGGAGCGCGGTGAATATGATCCACCTCCGCGTCGCCAGGTGTTGGCTGGCGGTGCCTCTCTGCCCGCGAACGGCATGATAATGAGCTGCCATCAAAATCGCGGCGCCGCGCTCGCCGCGGAGTGCGAGGTCGAAGGCGTGTTCTCCTGGTTCCAGAACGAGATGGGCGTAGACAAAGCCGTTCCCGGGAAGCTCTGGGACGGCAACGCTTGGCATCGTCCAGTCATGGACAAAGCCCGCGCCTTCTCGGTTGACGCACCCTGGTTCGGGTTCATTGCCGGGGCCCACATTCCGGAAACCTTCAAAGCGACGATTAACGATGCTTTCGGGCTTCGGGAGCGCCTCACCGCGAGCTTCGCGGAGCCCCAGTGGCTGACCATCAGGCAGATCCGCGAGGCATGCGCGCAGCTCCCCGTGCGGTCGCGCAAGCCCGCCGACTTCGTGGCCGGCCTGTTGCTGCCGCTCTTCAAGTGGTCGGTGTCGCGCAAGGGGGGAGTTTTTTAAGGCTTCGACCGAGGACGGGGCCAGCGAGCTCGTGGACAATAAATTCGACGGCCATATGGATTTGCAGCGGCAGTGTTTCCTCCAGCCTGGGAGGCATCAGGAGTCCAAGTACCACGGTAAGCTCCGGACCAAATTCGACCGCATGGCCTTGTCCACGCACGCCCTGCACGTGGTCTGCCAGAGGTTCCGCGAGTCGACCGCGCCAGCGCAGTACCGCCTTGACGACAACTGGGCGCATAATTTCTCGGCGCCCCCAGTGGTTTCCAAGAAAGCCGTCGCCATGGCTTACTTGCTGGCGGAGAAGTGCGAGCACACCTGGAAGATCTTGGACTTCGCGCGGAACGGCCACGGCATTCCGCAGGAGGCAGGCTCCCGCGCGTCCCAGGCAACGCAGCCTGGAGAGGCGCCCAGCGGCCCCCCTGCACCACCCGCCCCTGCCCTTGTGGACACGCAGGCGGCCGCCGATGCCGACGTGATCGTGCTGACCGAAACCGTCGCGGGCAAGATGGCGGGCAAGTGGTCGTGGACCAAGGAAGAGTTGAACAAGGTCATGTCCATGGGCACCGAGGTGTTCAAAGCCACTCTGGACAAGTTCCCCCTCTACGGCTGCTCTCTCCCCGCGCTGGTGGACGTCATGCACGTGATCTTGGCGGAGCCCGGGCAGTATTTCTATAACGGGAAGTCCGCCACTGTGGCGCGGCACGTGAAGGCCGTGACCAAGGATACCTCTTTCTACGAGCACACGATTCTTCTCCTCTTCATTGCGGCGAAGGTGCTCCAGGCGCTGGGCCTTGGGGTGACCGTGACGACGGTCGCCATCCCGGGGCAGACCTCTGGGCAGCATGCTTCTTCGTCAAGCGGAAGACGACCCGGCCAGACCTGGTCGCCGTGCTCGCGGAGCTGGGGATCTCCGAAGAGACGACGCCGACTCTGGCCGCATACGTCGCCTCTATTGACGCTGAGGAGCACCCCCCGCCGCGCGCCCCGGTCGTTGACTGGGGCCAGCGCCCGCCGGCCTCCGAGGTCGACGTGGGGTACCTGGCGGGCAAGTTGGGCCTCGTCTCCGCGCGCGAGGAGGCCCCGGTCGACGGCGCCGCGGCCCCGGCGGTGGAGCACGCTGCGCTGGCGCCAGCAGCTGCGGGCGGGCTGGACCTTGAGGGCATTGCCGAAGGCGCCGAAGACGACGCGCGCGCGGCCTCAACCGAAGCCGAGGACGAGGTCGAGGAGGCCGGCGATGCCGACGTGAATGCTGGAGACGAGGCGGCGCGCAGGCACCCGTCGGGCTTTGGTAGGTGACGAGGTTTCGGTCGACCGGGCCTCCCTCCGACATTGATCCATGGGAGCAGTGAGGTTATCCCGATATTTTCCAGCCAGCGTTTTGCACATGAGCTCAGGCATGTCCCAGATGCCAGCCGCGCGGCGACCTCGCATGTGCGCTATACCAAGCTGGCGGACATGCATGGCGGCTCGCGCGCTGCGGTTCGCGCGCCGCTGCCTGACGCCCACAGTTTTTGAAATGCGATTCTTCGAATTTTGGCGGGCTCGGGGGCGGCGAACGCGAATGAGCGGGCGCCGCCGTGAGCCAGGTTCCCTGGGCCGCTGTCCCGAAGGCGCCGACAAATCTACGGACGCCCATGCAACCTTGAAAAGCACACCGCAAATTCCTGTCATCGCCGCCTATCTCTTCCCATCCATCATGTCCTCATCATATTGTGTCTCGCCCCCTCTTTGTCCTCGCATCGTCCTCCAACTTTCCTCGCGCCGCAATGTCGCCCCCTCCTCCTCCTCGACGTCCTTCGGTGGTGCAATCCATGTGGTGCAATTCATGTGGTGCAGGGGCAGGGGGGCCGGTTCCGGATCAACCCTATCCCCCCCGCCTGGGTTTCTTATTGCCAGAGGGAACCCAGGCTACATCAACGATGCTACTATACACCCTCCCGTCCTTCGTCCCCTCCTCATGGGTTCACACAAGCACTTCCTTTCGCGCCGCGCGATGAAGGGGGGGGGCAAGAGGGGACAATGCGAAGAGCAATCGGCCTGGCCCGTCGGGCCGTGCCGGACAGCTTTCTGCTTGCCCCCCCTGCCTCCCTCCATACCTCTCCCCCTCCCTTCTTCCTTACCCCCCTCCCTCCATCCTTACCCTCCTGATGATGATGCTGCTGGTGATGCTGATGTGATGATGATGACGATGATGATGACGATGATGATGATGATGATGGTGATGATGATGATGATGATAGTGACGGCGATGGTGGTGGTGACGATGATGACGATGATGGAGGATGATGATGGCGCCGGTGACGGTGGGGTGTCCGCATACGAGCCTCCTGCATAAAGCTTCGTCGTCGGAGTCGTCGTTGCCGCCGTCGTCCTCGTCGTCGTCGTTGTCGGAGTCAGCGTGTTGCCGACGGAGTCGTTGACGTCGTCGTCAAAGTCGTCGTCATCGTCGTAAGCGTCGTTGTTGTCGTCGTCGTCGGAGTCGGAGTCGTCGTGAGCAAGCGTCGTCGTCGGATTCGGAGTAGTCGGAGTAGTCGTCGATGGATTCGGAGTCACCGGAGTCGTCGCCGTCGCCATCGTCGTACGCGGTCGGACTACATAGTCGTCGTCGTCGTCGGAGGCGGGGTCGCAATTGTCGTCGTCGGAATCGTACGTAGTCGGAGTCGTCCAAATCGTCATCGTCGTCCTCGTCGTCGTCGTCATCGTCGTCCTGAGTGTCGCCGTTGTCGTCGCCGACGTCGGAGTCGTCGGAGTGGGAGTCGTCGCCGCCGTAACCGTCGTCGTCGTCGTCGTCGTCGTCGTCGTCGTTCTCGTGGTCGACGTCGTCGTCGTTGGTGTCATCGGAGTCGACGTCGTCGGAGTCGTCGGAGTCGCCGTCGTCGTCATCGGCGTCGGTATTGTCGTCGTCGGAGTCGGAGTCGAAGTCGTGGCCGTCGTCGTCGCAGGAGTCGTCGGAGTCGTCGTTGTCGTCGGCGTCATCGTCGTTGTCATCGGAGGCATTATCGTGGGAGACTTCGTCGTCGTCGTCATCGTCGTCAAAGTCGCCGTCGTCGTCCTAGTCATCGGATTAGTCGTCGTCGCACTTGCCGTCGTCGTCGTCGTCGTCGTCGTCGTTGTCGTCGTTATCGTCGGCGTCGTCGTCGTCGTCGTGGTCGCCGGAGGCGTCCGGTTCGTTGGAGTCGTCTACGTCGGAGTCGTCGCCGCCGTCGTCGGGTTCGTCGGAGTCGACGTCGTCGTCGCAGTCGCCATCGTCGCCTTCGTCGTCGTCGGAGTCGTCGGAGTCGTCGTCGTCGTCGTCGTAAGCATCGGGGTCGCCGTCGTGTGTCGTCGTCGGCAATCGTCGTCGGAGTCGGAGTAGTTGGAGTAACGTTAGTCGTCGTCGTTGCCGTCGGCGTCGGAGTTGTCGTCGTCGTCGTCGTCGGTGCTGCCGTCGTCGTAGTCGGGGTAATCGTCCTAGTCGGAGTCGGAGTCGGAGTCGCCATTGTCGTCGTCGTCGTCGTCGTCGTCGCCGGCGTCGTTGGCATCGTCGGGGTCGTCGTAGCCGCCGACACCGCCGTCGTCGGCGTCGGAGTGGTTCGCGCCGTCTTCGTCGTCGGAGTCGTCGCCAGCGTCGTTTTCGCCGTTGTCGGCATGGAGTCGTCTTCGTCAGAGTCGTCGTCGTCGTCGTCGTCGTCGTCGTCCTCGTCGTCGTTGTCGTCGTCGTCATACGTAGTCGGAGTCGTCGGTGCCATCGTCGGCGTTGTCGTCAGCGTCGCCGTCGTCGTCGTCGTCGTCGTCAGCGTTGCCGTCGAAGTCGGAGTCGGAGTCGTTGGAGTGGGCGTCGTCGCCGCCGTAGCCGTCGGAGTCGTGATCGTCGACGCCGTCGTCGTCGTCGTCGTCGTCGTCGTCGTCGTCGTCGTCGTCGTTGTCGGGGTCATCATCGGAGTCGTCGGAGTCGTCGTCGTTGTCATAGTCGTCGTCGTCTTCGTCGGAGTCGGAGTCGTGGCTGTCGTCGTGGCTGTCGTCGTCGTCGTCGTCGTCGTCGTGGGGGGCAAGAGGGGACAATGCGAAGAGCAATCGGCCTGGCCCGTCCGGCCGTGCCGGCCAGCTTTCTGCTTGCCCCCCTGCCTCCCTCCATACCTCTCCCCCGCCCCTCCCTCCTTCCTTACCCCCCTCCCTCCTTCCTTACCCTCCTGATGATGATGATGATGAGGATGAGGATGAGGATGAGGATGAGGATGAGGATGATGATGATGATGATGATGATGATGATGATGATGATGATGATGATGATGCTGCAGATGCTGTGATGATGATGATGACGATGATGATGATGATGCTGCTGCTGCTGCTGCTGATGATGATGATGATGATGATGATGATGATGATGATGATGATAGTGACGGCGATGGTGGTGGTGATGATGATGACGATGATGAGAGAATGATGATGGCGACGGTGACGGTGGGGTGTCCGCATACGAGCCTCCTGCATAAAGCTTCGTCGTCATCGTCGTCGTTGCCGCCGTCGTCGTCGTCGTCGTCGTCGTCGTTGTCGGAGTCAGCGTGTTGCCGACGGAGTCGTTGACGTCGTCGTCCAAGTCGTCGCCATCGTCGTCATCGTCGGAAGCGTCGTTGTTGTCGTCGTCGTCGTCGTCGGAGTCGGAGTCGTCGTCAGCAAGCGTCGTCGTCGGATTCGGAGCAGTCGGAGTAGTAGTCGACGGAGTCGGAGTCACCGTCGTCGTCGCCGTCGCCATCGTCGTACGCGGTCGGAGTACATAGTCGTCGTCGTCGGAGTCGGAGTCGGAGTCGCAATTGTCGTCGTCGGAGTCGTACGTAGTCGGAGTCGTCCAAGTCGTCATCGTCGTCCTCGTCGTCGTCGGTGTCGCCATTGTCGTCGCCGACGTCGGAGTCGTCGGAGTGGGAGTCGTCGCCGCCGTAACCGTCGTCGTCGTCGTCGTCGTCGTCGTCGTCGTCGTCGTCGTCGTTCTCGTGGTCGACGTCGTCGTCGTCGGTGTCACCGGAGTCGACGTCGTCGTCGTCGGAGTCGTCGGAGTTGTCGTCGTCTTCGTCGGAGTCGGAGTCGTGGCGTCGTCGTCGCAGGAGTCCTGGGAGTCGTCGTTGTCGTCGGCGTCATCGTCGTTGTCATGGGAGTCATTATCGTCGGAGACTTAGTCGTCGTCGTCATCGTCGTCAAAGTCGCCGTCGTCGTCCTAGTCATCGGATTAGTCGTCGTCGCACTTGCCGTCGTCGTCGTCGTCGTCGTCGTCGTCGTCGTCGTCGTTCTCGTGGTCGACGTCGTCGTCGTCGGTGTCACCGGAGTCGACGTCGTCGTCGTCGGAGTCGTCGGAGTTGTCGTCGTCTTCGTCGGAGTCGGAGTCGTGGCGTCGTCGTCGCAGGAGTCCTGGGAGTCGTCGTTGTCGTCGGCGTCATCATCGTTGTCATCGGAGGCATTATCGTCGGAGACTTCGTCGTCGTCGTCGTCGTCATCGTCGTCAAAATCGCCGTCGTCGTCCTAGTCATCGGATTAGTCGTCGTCGCACTTGCCGTCGTCGTCGTCGTCGTCGTGGTCGCCGGAGGCGTCAGGGTCGTGGGAGTCGTCTAAGTCGGAGTCGTCGCCGCCGTCGTCGGATTCGTTGGAGTCGTCGGAGTCGTCGGAGTCGACGGTGTCGTCGCCGTCGCCATCGTCGCCCTCGTCGTCGTCGGAGTCGTCGGAGTCGTCGTCGTCGTCGTCGTCGTCGTCGTCGTCGTCGTCGTCGTCGTCGTCGTTGTCATTGTCGTCGTCGTCGTAAGCATCAGGGTCGCCGTCGTGAGAGTCGTCGTCGGCAATCGTCGTCGGCCCGCCCGATCCGCCCCTGGGATCTGCCCGATCCACCCCGACCCGCCCGTCGCGCCCTTCTAGGGCGCACGCGCGTCAACTCGGACATGTACCATGCTTTAATGTCCCGCCCGCCCGACCCGACCCGCCCGGTTGGGTATGTTCGACCCGGCCCGATCCACCCGCCCGACCCCCCCAATTGGGTCCGCTTCCCCACGCGACCCGCCCGATGCGCCCGTTAGGTGCGCCAGGGTGCACGCGTGTCTCTTCGGATACGCATTATTTTTTGATGTTCCGCCAGACCCGCTTCGCCTGCTAGGGGCCAGTCGACCCGACCCGACCCGATTTGCCCGTCAGGGTCCGCCCGTCCCAGACCGCCCGATCCGCGTGTCAGGGTGATC